GAACAAGATTACAGAGAATTAACAAAAAAAATAAATGAATCTAAAGTAGAGCGGTATATCTACGAAAATAAAATTACAAGAACCATCAAGGTGATTGTTAGAGGCTTGCATCTTTCGTGCCAACCTGAAGATATTAAAAATGAGCTAAAAGAGAGGGCTTTAAAGTTACTGAAGTCGTTAATAAAATAGAGAAGCAGATTAAAAAAAACAAGATCACTATGACCCGCCTTCCCCTCTTCATGTTAATCTTTGAAAATTCGGAAGACATAAAAAAAATTTACAAAATTGATGTACTTCAGCACATGAAGATTGAAATTGGGTCACTAAAGAGGAATAACTTGGTTCCTCAATGCAAAAGCTGTAAGAAATATGGGTAAACACAGAGGTTCTGACAGCGTCAATGTGCCAAGGGTGCTGGTCCTCATTTGACGATAAATTGTAGTAAGCAAAAAATCTATGCTACAAAGTGTGCAAATTGCTTTAAAGCACATCCTGCGAATTACAAGGATTATATAGTCGCAAAGGAATTACAAAAAAGGAAAAATAGCTTTACAAAACATAAACAAATAAAAACAAAAACCAAAAAATACGCCCAAAATTCCAAAAAACTTCAAAAGCAAATACATTGATAAAAGCGTGCAGGGAATACAATATGCCCAAGTAGCGAGTGATGGAACATATAACCATACCAAAGAACGAAGAGATTTACCACCTCAAAAACCTGCTGAAAGCAATATAAATATATTAGAAATGATGCAAAATATAATAAAAACTATGAACGAAATCTCATTGAGATTGAACAAATTAGAAGACAGGCATGATAATGTTTACGTATGTACGCCAAAAAGAACAAAAAATAATGGACGAAAGTAAAAAAAGAATTGCGGCATGGAACGCAAATGGCGCTTTTAACAAAAAGCGTATATTAAAAGTATTTCTAACGACCCAAAATATTGATATATGTTTAGTAACAGAGACACATTTAAAACAGCAAACAGATATAAAAATAAATGGTTACCTAGAATATAAAGCGGTGCATCCCAATAATGAATCAAAAGATGAATGCGTTATTTTGATAAGGAATAATATAAAACATAATGAATTAAGCAAACTAGAAAGAGACGATAACCAATTTGTTGCTGTACGAATAGAGTCTTATAAACGAAATTTCGATGTTGGTGTACTTTACTGTCCTCCGGGACGTGTTTTAAAGAGTGGCCCATTCAAAGATCTCCTGAATCTCCTTAAAGAAAGATTTATTCTGGGAGATGACTATAATGCCAAACATATTGATTGAGGTTCTAGATTGATTTCAACAAGAGGTAGAGAGCTAAGAAAAGCTATTAAGGAGATCGATTGTCAGTAACAATCCACTGGTAGGCCGACATATTGACCAAGTGATAGAAATAAGATACCAGATGTGCTAGACCCCTTTATTGTCAAGAAAATCTGGCCAAATTTCAGTAATTTAAAAGATAACTACGTTTTGGTTATGCAGTTATATTAAACTTAACTAAAACAGTTACCAAGAAACAAAATAAGCTCATGTTGATTAATAAATCAAGAGACTGGACTGGACTAAAATAAACTTAAGAATTAAAGTACGAACCCAAGATGATTTGGATTCTGAGGTATCGATTTTAGTAAAATCATACAAAGCGCTGCCTGGAATAGTACAAAACAATATGAGTACAAATTCGTAGGTATGACTTACCAAAGGGAAATACTGAATAAGATAAGCTAAAGGAGAAGAGCTAGACGTAAAAATCTAAAAAGAAAAATAAGAAAAATCAAGGAAGATTCATTTGATAATTACATTAAAAATTTGTCAACCGAACAAGAAAGTAATTATTCCTTATGGAGGGCTGCAAAAAATATTGAAAAGCCAATTTTACATGTTCCCCCTATTAGTGGAACGGATGGCAAATGGACAATGGAAAGTAAGAATAAGGCTGTAATATTTGCAGATCACCTTGAAAAAATTTTTAGGCCAAATGACATACACTCAAACATAAATATTGTAATGAGAAATGTGAGAGCAGAAAACGTTATCGCTTCTTTTGCACAAAGTGAAATAGTGGAAGAAAAAAAGTTTAAAGACAAGGAAAGCACCGGGTAATGATTTAAATACCTGTGAGATACTGAAACAATTACCAAAAAAAGGTATAACAATGTTGACTTTTTTAACGAATTCTGCATTAAGGTTAAAGTATTTTACTACTGGTTGGAAGGTGGCAGAAGTTATAATGATACCAAAACCTGGTATACCTTTAGATGAGACCAAGTCTTATAGACCAATTTCTCTGCTACCACTTTTGTCGAAATTTTTTTAAAAGTTATTACTGAAAAGAATGGGAATATAATTGAGGAGAGGTCATTAATTCCGAACCACTAATTTGGGTTTAGAGTAGGAAATTCAACTACTGATCAAATTCATAGAATTACAAATATTATTGAGCAAGCTCTAGAGGAAAAGCAAGTTTGTGCAACAATTTTTGTATACGTGGCTCAGGCTTTTGAAAAGGTTTGGCACGAATGATTAATGTACAAGTTAGTAAAAATATTACCAAAGCAATATGTAGATATTAAGAGTGAATAAGAAAAAAAAATATTTAGATATTCCTTCTTTTTATTTAACCGACATATTATTTAGAATTAAACAGGAGGGGCACTATTCCACATTTTGAGAAATAAGACCAGGTGTGCGACAGGGCAGTTTTTTGAGTCCAATACTATATCTACTTTTTACAAGAGATGTGCCTCAAATAGAAAACACAATTGATACTGAATACAAACGATACTGAATTTATAGTAGTAGCATCAAATATTGACGACCACATAAGAAAGTTGCAGCAGGCAAGCAATAGTTTTGATGCTTGGACCAAGAAACGAAAAATAAAAGTAAATGAAACTAAGTCCGCACAAGTAAATTTTTGCAAATAAAGTTCTTGTAAACCCTTCACGTGCTAATTTAAATGTGGTAAATGCGGTAAATGAAAATGCGGTAAAATATCTAGGAATGACACTGAGTGTTAAGCTAAAATGCAAGGAACATGTTAAGAAGAAAAATGCAGATTTAGAATTAAAATATAAAGAAATGTATTGGCTCCTAGGTCGCAAGTGAAGGTTGCCAATACAGAATAAGGTCCAGCTCTATAACCAAAATATTAAACCGGTCTGGTTGTATGGTATCCAGTTGTGGGGATGTGCAAAACAAATACATGTATAGCGAATACAAACGTTCCAGAATAGTGTTTTACGGAATATGGTGAATGCCCATCCTAAAGATCTAAAGATTCCATGTATAATTGACAAAATTAGCGAAAGAGCAGTGAGACGTGGAGCTCGTCTGGAGCTACATGGCAACGCAGAGGCTTCTTGGCTTCTTGCTATTCGGGATTCTGCCAGAAGGCTAAAGAGGACTTTGCCTCCTGATTTGGCGCAAAATGCGCTTCACCAAATCGGGGAGCGTTGAATCTTTTTCAATCTATATTATAGAAAATTTGATGGTTGGTCTAATGGAACTATGATCAGAATATAAGGAGGAGGTTTTTGTGGTAGAACACTAACTAACTATGGATTGGCCGGGAATGTCATGTTAGTAGCATTCATGCTTTTCTCCTTTCTTCGATGAAGAAAAAAAAAATCTTTTTACCGTTCAATCTCTAACCGAAATCTTGATCAATCTGTAGTTCTATTTGTCAGCGCAGGTTTCGCTCTTTTCATTACAATATTTTTCTTAAGTTTAAAAATAACCACCGAATGATCGGAGTTAAGATCATAATTATCATGTACCTCAATGAATTTTTCGCATTCCGTCTTGTTATGAAGAAATCTATTAAATCTGGACACTTATTAACATCGGTTGGCCAATAAGTTAGCTTCGCAGTACAATGAAAAAGGCATCCCGTGCCGCCAATTGCTGTTCTAATTTCCCTTCCTCTGGTTGGAGTATGCCTTCAACTGAACTCGAATCAGTGTGCTTGGCGTTAAAGTTACCCCCCAATATAAATCTGTCGTCTAGGTCGCCCAGAACGTTTTGAAACATTTCTCTTATTTTAAACCTGGCGTGACAATATAAAGCAGCCACTCTAAAGATCTGAACCGCCGCCATTTGCATTCCGTCGGCTTGCATCTGGAGCAGATCACAGTGCACTATACTTTTTTATCTTATTATCGCCGTTCCGCCCTTCGCTATATTTAAAGGGCGGTAGTGTTGTAAATTCTATAACATCGAAACTGAATTCTGCTTCTTAAAGTCATATGCGTTTCACTTACGAGGGACATATCTATATTCTGTATATGTAGAAAAACCTTAACCATGTCCTTTTTATTTGCAATACCATTGCAATTCCATGTTGCTAATTTAAAATTATCTCATGCCATAATTTACCAGGTTTTTTAGTATTCGATTTTTTCTCCTCGCTCTCTAAAATGCTCAAGCTCTGAGAGATTTTGTACATCATATTTAGCATGTTTTGTATCATATTTTGCATTTAATACAAAACATTCAACTAACCTTTGCTTTATTGCTTGTGTTACTGTAATCGGTTTTCGTTTGGAAAACGTTCTTGTATGTTACATCTTTAGACACTATTCTCGAACTGAATTGCCTCGGTGGTCGGCCAGAATTCTATACTATACTATACTGGGTGGGCCTCTAAAAAAATTGAAGCACTTTGCTGCAGTGCTCATTGGCTTACTACAATCTGCGGTTAAGTGCCTGCCACAATTTGGTTCTCATTTGGTTCTATGTTCTCTTGTGGGAGTAGTTCGAGTCAGTGAACAAATGAGAATGGGAGATCGCTTTGATGAAGCTACTTCAACATGGGTGATTTAAAGGTTCATCAAGGATTACAAGGTCAGGTAGGATCTTGTAATAGGAAGTGACGTTGGTGGCGGCAGCGTTATTCCACAGCTTTTGAAGTTACTACCTTGGCGTCAGGTGGCAACTGGCCGTAAAAATTTTTAGCCGAAAAAACACAAACTCCATGATGAAAATGAGGTCAAACAGAAGGAAAGATTACACTAGGGCGTTCCCCAGAAGCGACGAACCAAGAAAAGTAAACAATCCAAGCATTAAAAAAGTAAAAGCAAAAATCAAAATCAGAATCGGAACATGGAACATTGGCAGTCTTACAGGACGAAGCAAGGAACTTGCTGAGATACTAAAAAGAAGAAATATAGATATATGCTGTATTCAGGAGTTGAAATGGAAAGGTGCAAAAGCACGAAAAATTGGTGAAAGTTATACAGTATTGTACAACGGTTTCAACGCAAAAAATGGTATTGGAATAGTATTCAAAGAAAACATGTGTGATAAGATTATTGAAGTTAAGCGCATAAGTGACAGGCTCATGTACGTCAAAATGGTCATAGAAAATAAGATATATAATATTATGAGTGCATATGCTCCTCAAACGGGATGTGACAGTCAAACAAAGCTACTATTTTTTGAATCTTTAGAAGAAACAATGCAGGCGATATCATTAAATGAGGCTATTATTTTGTGTGGTGATCTAAATGGTCATATAGGTAGAGCAAATGGTACTAATAGCCCTTGCCACGGAGGTTTTGGCTACGGACAAATTAATGAGCAGGGTGAATGGATCCTTGACATAGCCAGCGCATATGATTTGAAAATATAAATAGTTGTTTCCAGAAAAAAGATGAGCATCTCATATCGTATAGTAGTGGGGGCTCATGCACGCAAATAGATTATATTATGTGTAAAACTTCAAATGCACGTCAGTTTCTGGATTGTAAAATCATACCAGGTGAATCTCTTACTAGTCAACACAGACTCTTGCTAGCGACTTTCGAGGTGGACTCGTCGAACTTAAGAAATGTAAACTATCACTCGAAGAAAACAAAGTGGAACAATATATATAAAGATGAGGGAAATGCATTTATTCAACAAGTTAACCGAAATTGCGAGAGTCTAGTCAATGCAGCACAATTTATATTAGACGATGGCTGGAAAGAATTTCATAATAAGGAAAACCGTTTGGCAAGGGAATATCTTGGTACTACAAAAGGCAAATCTTATGGCAAGAAAGAAACTTCGTGGTGGAGCGGCGATGCTCAAGAGGTGCTTAAACAAAAGAAAATCGCTTTTAAACAGTGGAAAAAAGGGCCAACATATGAAAATCATGCTATCTACAAACAAACTTGTAAAATTGCGAAAAGGACCGTTGCCATTGCTAAAAACAACGCGTATCAAAAGTTCTATGAAAATCTGGAAACACCTGAAGGGCAGAACCAAATTTATAAAATCGCCAAAAGCAGAGATTTTGCAACAAAAGATCCAATATCAACCAGGTTCATTTGTAGTAAAACTCAAGAGCTACTGACAATCAACGAAGATGCTAATAAAAGATGGAAAGAGTACTATAGTGAATTGATGAACGAGGAATTTGAACATGATACTCCCGAAAACTTACCAGCTACATACGGACCGTTAAATATGGTAGCTACCGAGGAAATAGAAATGGCCCTTAAAAGTATGAAAAATAATAAGGCGGTAGGTCCGGACAATATTCCATCTGATCTTTGGAAAAGAATGGGCTCTCAGGGGAAAGTATTACTTCAGCACATCTTCAGCAAATTAATAAAAGGCAACAAAATACCAGCTGATTGGAGAAATAGTTTCCTTGTGCCTTTATATAAAAACAAGGACAACGTGCAACAGTGTGAAAATTACAGAGGCATAAAGTTGACATCGCATACTTTAAAAATCTGGGAAAGAGTTGTTGAGAGCAGACTGAGATCAATTATAAGGATTAGCAGCAATCAATTTGGTTTTGTAAAAAATTGTTCAACTACTGACGCAATACAAACGATGAGAATTGTCATAGAAAAATTTAAATCGAGAAAAGAAGATCTACATGTTGTATTTATGGACTTGGAGAAAGCCTTCGACCGATTACCCAGAGAAATTATATGGCAAGCCCTTCGTTATCATAGGGTTCCTGAACATTACATTGAGATAATCAAGGACATGTATGCAAACACAACAACGCAGGTGAAGAGCGGGAGCGGCTTGTCGGAAAAATTCGGGGTGGATGTTGGCGTCCACCAAGGATCAGCTTTAAGTCCACTTCTTTTTATCACCGCTTTGGATTATCTTGCCAGAAATATCCAGGACCCGTTACCATGGACAATAATATATGCCGACGATATTGCAATTATTGCCGAATCTCTGGAAGGGCTGCAAACCAAAGTCGAGCAGTGGGCTGACGCGCTGGAAAAGAATGGTCTAAAAATAAGTCGAACGAAAACAGAATATATGCACTTGTCATTCTCGAACGAATCTTTTATAGGCCCGACGAATACAATTAAAATAAAAAGTATACCAATACCGATAACGAATGCTTTCAAATATCTTGGTTCAACTATAACATCTAAAGGCAAAATCGATGATGACGTCACAAGTCGTGTAAATGCTGGCTGGCTAAAGTGGAGGTCGCTAACAGGAGCTTTATGCGACGAAAAGTTTCCAGTCAAATTAAAAGGAAAAATTTATAAGACGGCAGTTAGACCGGCTCTTATGTATGGAACAGAGTGTTGGGCGGCAAATAAGAAACACGAACAAAAATTACATGTCACCGAAATGCGAATGTTAAGGTGGTCCGCAGGCGTGACGAAATTAGATAAAATAAGAAATGAGTATCTCAGAGGCACATTTAAAGTAGCCGACATTAAAGAAAAATTAGCCGAAAAACGACTGAGATGGTATGGTCACGTCATGCGTAGAGACGAGGAGCACCCTGTTAGAAAAGCACTTAAATTGCCAATACCTAAGAGAGGACCAGGTAGGCCACCATGGCTTGGCACAATCAACAAAGATATGAGTAAAGCAGGATTGAACGCGGAGACAACCCAAGACAGGAGTTCTTGGCGCCTCAGATCAAGGAGGGCCGACCCCAAATAAGGGAAAAGGTCATGAAGAAGAAGAAGAAGAAGAGACAATTTGGTTCTATCTGGCAAAATTTTTGTGTATACCTGTTACACTGCGGAATGGTCCTTTTCTTTCGAAGTGCCTCTATCCTAACTTTCATCCTATTTATGTGATCGATTTCATAAATTCCTTTCATCTCCTCATCATTTGAGAACGTTAGCATAAATAGCGGTAGAGGCACCATAATGTTTTTCCATTTTCTTTTATTTTTTTAATTTTATTTTTTACATCAAAGATCTTGTAACCCCAAAGCTTAACTTTTCTTTTATATCTTCCGGTTTATAACTAGGGTAAAGATTTCTTAGTATGACTTTTATTGTTCTGTTCTGTTTGTTTCCATAGGTATGCCATTCTAGTCTAGATCCATTCATGGCTCTGGTAAGATTCCTGTAATCAATTTTGGAATTTACAATGAGTTTCAATTGATTGTTATTCATTATTTTAACCTTATAATTGATGTCCTAATTTTTCAATGTTGACTCCATTTGATTATAGTCAACCACATCACTTATGCCTACTGGAGGCGGCCTAGAGTTTTTCGTGACATCGCTTCGATTTTTAGAATCAGCAGCATCCGCCTTATCGGCGTTAGTCGTCACCTGGACACTTTCGAGATGATTCCGCTTTTCTTTTTTTACTGAACCTCTTTTGTTATAGGATCCAATCTGTTCTCTGGCGAATTCTTCCTCATCTGTTGAGTAGGCTACTAAGAAGACCTACTTGTTTTTTAGACCTACGGTGTAACGTCTTTTTCTTTATGACTGTTATCCTTAGACGTACTGTTTGTAATTCATGTTTCTCTTTCTTTAGCTTCTCATTCTCAGTCCTCAGTTGAAGAACCTTGTTTGTTAAAGCCACACAGAGCTGTTCTAGTTGTCCAATCCTTTTATGTATGTCAGCATTCTGATCAACACCTTTTTTGGCTTGAGTTACACTCATGTTTATTTCCTTCTTGATTTGTGGAGCTTGAGTGTTCGGTAGTCCACCTTCCGTAGCTTTATTGTTTTCTATAATCCGTACATTTGATGTAGTTGGCGAACGCCGGTTTTTCGTGTTCCTCTTGAACGGATCAATCAAATGCAATAAATGGCTCTCCCCAGAATCCGTAGAGCCGACTTCCGAAGAAGGTGGATTCTCCAACGTAGTTACTACCTGGGGTACTAAATCTTTTGTTTTCTCCATTGTAATTTTCTAAAAAAAATTTTTGGAACAATTTGTTAGGTATAATTTTCTTCAGGGACTTTTTTTAAAACTACTGGAAAAAATATTTTTTTTTTCTTGAGTTAGAAAGCGCTTAAAGTTTCAAGTAATACTGCATCCCTAATTTTTTTTGTCAAAAATGTAGATATCACGTTCTGATAGAAAACCGTAGATATTGCTTGACATCATAAAATCGTGACTCTCCAACGAACGTAGGAAAAACTAGAAGTCATATTTAATCAAAATTGTAGTTAAAATTATGAGTTGATTTAAAATTTTTAGGAAAGGAAAGTTCTAATTTTATTATACCCGTACGAACGTATGTTCAAAGGATGTTTGCCTTACCGTTTGTAATACTAAGAAATAATGGTCAGCGATATAGAGTCAAGTGTATGTTTTTGATCAGCGTCGAATTCTGAGTCGATTTAGCTTTGTCCGTTCGTTCGTCCGTCTCAGCGATAACTCAAAAACTGATTAAGCTAAGTTTACTAAATTTTCACAAGTGATATATTATAGCAAGTGCTAGAATCCCATTTAAATTAGACATGATCGGAGTACCGGTTCGGGTGGCTGTCATACAACTTCAAAATTTATTTGGCTATATCTCAAAAACTATAAAAGCTATGGTATTCAAATTTCACACAAACCTAAATATTAGTAGGGCTAATGTGTCTAATAAAAGTCTTTAAAATTACTTGGCGATTTCTGGACAAGGTCAACTCAATATTTTCTATTTTTAGTATAAAAGCTTTTAGGTTTTAGGCAGTTTTTCGTACAGAAAACTCAAAATGAAAATAGGAAAAAATCATCATTTTTCCAAAAAAAAAAGTAAAAAGTGATTCTTCAGAAATGTTATGATATTTTTCCTTGATATTTTTCAAGGTTGTATTCATAGGAGAAATGCGTTTTAAATTCATAAATATAAGATTAAAGTAGAAATCAAAAATTTACAAATTATATTTATGCTATTATTATTGCTATTTAAATTTAAATTCAAATTTGTTTTCATTATTTTTCAAAATTATGTACGTACTCATAATGCATAATTATAATTATTTATATTTAATTATTCTATAATAATATATAAACATGATGATTTATATAATATGTAATTTTAATTATTTTTTACCGACCGTATTGTGTATACAATAAGTAAGTGATGTGATAGCAACAAATTTGCATGTCGAGTTTTCGGGAATTGGGAATGCACTTTTTAGCAACCTGTCGGTCTATGTGTGAACGCGTGTAACGCGTTTTGTATGTAAGTTTATTTCAACCGGACGGATATTTCGACATTCGATGGCACGGATCGATAAATTTTTGGGATATATCAGGCCTCGGAACTGCACTTTTTAGCTGACATTTTTACATTTTCGACCATTTTGAAGAAAATATTGAACGGATGTCTGTTGAGCTTATCTAGCCTAGAGGCTAGATATCCCGGTTGAGCAACCAAAATGTTAGAAAGTTTAATTGAAAAACTTCTTG